TACATTAATCTATTATCCTACCCTCGGGGCTCACTGGGTACACTTGAAATTGCACATGCCATATCTCAACACACTGTATCACCAATACTATGGAACAACGTTATTATCACTCGGCATGGCTAATATACGTGAACCAGACTTACTTGACATAGAAGACTGTAGGCCCTTCCGGCGCTTGTTAAACCCATATTGAGCAGCGCCTCCGGCTGACAACTGAATATTCTGTTGAAAATCAGAATCCCAAGTCTCTCAAATTTTCCTAATTTATAGTGTTACTTTGCTGATTAGGCATTGACGACAGAGGGTAGTTAACTCCTCCTCCGTGCCCTCTATTCCCAAAGTTATATTCTCATTGGATATTCTATGTGGCTGGGGGTGGACCTCTTGCGTCTTATCGCTGTGTATTACTCATATGACCATCTCCAGTGGCCTAGTTAGCGGAGCGTCTTGCATACGGTATTACGCATGAATGCTGATTATCGCATTCTTAACCTAATTGCGTGTCCATGTGTTGTCATCTTTGCTCTTTCACTGCAAAACACCTTTCGCAAGTCTCCAGGCACCTAGGTAATGACTTAACTTTTCAATCCCAAATTTGCTCCTCAACATGAAGAAATTGTTCTAAGACAGACGGTCACAGATGAATGGACATGCAGATTAAGGCAGGAAGGGATGACTTACAGTGAATAACCATGGGCCTTTTGTACTGCTGACAGTGTACAAATACATAATCATATACTGTGCGACAGACAATAAAAATATTGTCACGTATTCCTGGTTAGCGTGACTAACAATAATGTGTTCTGGATTAGATGAATAGATTTATTGGACATTCATAAGCCGTAACAACAAATAAATACAACACTCTAAAAGTTATGTAACTATAACACACAAAATAAAGTCTTCAACGTCTGATTGCGAGTCGTTGCTTGGTAACGAATCTAATCTGGTTAACACTTCAACTACTGAACTGCCTTCTGAATTCTCTTACGAATGAATCTCTGACAGAATTCAAGAATGAACTCCATTTTATAACTGCGAGAGATCCTAACCGAGATCAGAGGATCAAAGGGTTCCATTGTTGTACTTCATGAATGCATCGCCTTGGAAACAATGTGTTAATTTCCAAGCAACGGTTTGGTTTTCTACGTGTTCACAACCTTCACTTTCCGTATCCCTGCAAACCGTGTTTCGCAATCAGTTGGTTTCCACGTAACAATCTCTCCGTGGCCATTCGTTCCCTAGAAACGGCCTACATGTCACAATATTTTACTTTTACTGTGATTGCATTTGTCTAGGTAAAGTAATGTGAAATGGGAATTAAGTTCAGGAATTCGATTCCCTGTAAAGGCACGAGAGTTTTTACTGTCAAGTCTTCAACGGTTCTAAGGCTCACACAGACTGATCCCGTGTATATGGGAAGTTCTTATCTTGGAAGGATACACAGGGGTAGAACCTAAGCCGGCCAATGACGTGTGACTACTGACCAAATTAAGAATTCATGTTCCCCTGAGATATCCTAGCGTGGTATCAGGCGCAGAGACCGTTTCTTCATTTCCTCATATGCGTACATGTAGAAGTGTTGTGATCGTAAATATCTTGAATTCTTTAAGAAGATATGCTACAGAACTGAAAGTTTGTCCATTATAGGTTGACAGTCGGTGAATATAAACATTTCACAGCGGACCACAGAAAAGAAAAAAATCCCGATATTTTTCGAAAACGATTCCAATCAATTTGATTATGCTTCGAGTAATTTTAAGAGACCATCTCCCTAAATAAAATGGCACAGGTGGAATCCCGAGGAAAACAACGGTTGACAATTTTGATTAAGGGAATCTGAGGTTCTCACAGCGGTAATTATGAGGAGTTCTATCATCTGGGATATAACACGGTGTAGTCCACTGAACGTCTACAGACATTTCGGAATAACATGACGCCCCATCATCAGGATCAAAGAATAAGCTAAGCTAGAAAACAGCATGAAGGAAGTGGAGCCCATATCGGATTCTTGCTTGGCTTATTCTCTGACTCTGAAGATGATGACATGATCATCAGAAATAGCGGTCGAATTTAAAATGAATACATTCTAGAAGATACGTATATGTCTACGATTAAGATTAATTTCCACCGACTCACAGTAATGACAACCCCAAATGAAACTGTTAATTTCAGAATATCCTGATAATACGAGTATTTACTTTGTGATAGTAAGTCCATCAAATAATGCGCAATCTGTCTGCGCCCACCTTTTAGTTTCACGCGGAACATACATGTAACTTTCGCAGACGTTCATATATTTAGAAGCCGATTAAATTACTCGCTACGGGATATCGTTTCGAAATCGCTTTCCGTAGTTGTAACAAGTTTTAGGGAACTGAGAGCAGAAAACCTTTGGTATCCTCCCCTCCTTCATAATTTATCACCGATGCGGCAGGCTGGCAGGCAGCAGGCAAGCTGCTCCACTTACCCGGTTCTAGCGAAGTTACTCCAATATATCATTGTCGCTTCGGAAAGGAGCATCTCCGACTTGGTGTAATTGCGGGGAAAGTGGGAGAGCCCCCCCACCAGGGGAGCCCCAAACACGTACGGCAGCTCCTCTCCATGGATACACCCTTGTCTCTGCAACACAATTTATAACAATTTTTATTAATTACAATTTATTAATAATAAATAAAAGTAAATGGGAAGACCAGGTAAACGTTGCACTGATAAACTTCTCGGGTGAATCCAGAAAAACCGAAGTGAACGGAGAAGTTCATGGAGGTAGGCCTAGGCTCACTGGGGCTTTAGTGCCAAGGAAAAAAAAAAAAGCAACGAGCTGCAGAGTACTTATAGAGTGCATGAACATTAGTCACAGAATAGGCTAGGAAAGAGCGAAGAAAAGTCTTGTGTCAGTGTATCGTGTCTATTCTGTGAGTACTGATAATATTCTAATGTGGATACCATACTATATAAAAGAGACGGTTTACGATTTACTATTTTATGTGTAATTCGTGGGAGATGGCCTTAGACATCGGCCTCAACACAGCATTAAATAATTGGACTGGAAACAAATTTGAGAGAAAGCGGGTGCTTTAACAGTATGTAAAAATTATAAAAGGAAACACTTCTCAAAGGGAGCTACAGTCACTGTCATTTAAAAATTTTCCGGCTATGAAACACTCACGTCTTGAATTCTTGCAGATGTCTTTACTACATACTTTCGGGCATCTGACAAGCTTCTGACACTGCTGTGAAGTGTATGCTTTCTGTGATGCGACGCCATTTAGTCCAGTAGACGTTCACTGACGTTTCGGAGAGATGTAGTAATAATGCGTACCGAACTAAACGTCCCTGAATTTCTATCGGATTGTATGGCGCTACAGCCCAGCAGATAGTAATTTTCACGTATTTTTCCCTTTCCACGTTCAGCACAAATTTCATCTTCGGAAAGCCCTTTATTTCAGGCTGATAGATATGTATGTTTGTCACGTAATTGCTTTTCTTCTTCTTGTACGGGCGCTAGACTCCATGATGATCCTTGGCCTCCTTTACGATTGCTCGTCATTTGTCCCGGTTCCGTAACTTCAGTCTCCTTTTAGGTGTTTCCGTTCGGCTGCGGTCGTTAAAAGCTTCTCAAGAATTAAGGATTTTTACGGCGTGGGGCGGAAAACCCTACGCCCAACCTGGAGGACCAAGGTATCCCTTTGTGTCTGGATCATCACCTTCGACCTGACCGGCATGGGCGGCTCTACCAGTAGCTACGCTACCGCCGGCATAGCACGAATGACAACGCAAGCCCCATGATTATTTCAAAGTAGGCATACCTTCAGGTGGCTGTATTTAAACTTCTTTTAAACCCCAGGAATAGAATTATATTTGTTTTTCGGTAGAAGGGTAGTAACTCGGGAGCCGGGATAGCATAGTAGGTATAGCGACTGGCTATGGGCTGGACGGCCGAGGGATCAGAGATCGAATCCCGGTAGGGTTAAAAATTTTCTCTTCTCCACGTCGACCAGACCGGCTCTGGAGTCCACCCAACCGCCTATCCAGTGAGTAAAGGGGGGTCTTTAATTCGGATAATCGGCGTTTTACTGTATTTGTAAGTACGTTTAGATACCAGAGGAGCATACAGTTTGCAGATATCGATTTTGAGACAAACAACAAAATACAGACGCAAATTTCCCTCTGTTAGAAGGCTCAGTTTCTACAGATCACAGAAGATGGCCTGTTCTGAACGCAGAAAGCAGTTATAAAGACACAGCACAAGTGTAGTAAACAGATTAATGAGACTAGGCTCAATGTACGAGTATCTAGAGCTCAGAAGGCTCCGTGAAATCTCTGAGCAGCATTTAATTATCTCGGTTTCTGGCGCCAAGACAGACAGAGAGAGAGTGATTGCGAATCCAGGAGTAGAGTTAAGTTTCTGCCGGAGATTTTGAAATTAATTCACATCAAAAATACGGAAAATGGAAGGAAGTTGGGGTAGTTAAGTGGTAAAGGAAATGTTCTCGAAAGAATTCAAGAAAAATCCTCATGAAGTTCCCCCAGATTCTAAACAATGTAAAGTTTACTTCGTTACACTGTTTTTTTTTTTTCGCAAGACATGGAGTGTAATGAATGGACGGTTTCACTTTTTCCCTCTCAAGAAAGACACGGACGCGAAAGTCTTTTGTTCTCTCGTAACAGAATCACAGAAAAATGTACGTACGTAATAGCGATTAAAGAAATGAATTAAAAGGATGTTACTGTAACCAGTCAGGACACTGAAGTCATACCGTTGTTAAGGGACATGTGACGGTGATTATTAACAGTGGCGTATCATCTGACAGCGAACAAAAGCGACTGTTTGCAGTTGCGTAGTGTGAAGTCGCAAGAAGTTTTATTTAAGTAGGATCTGAGGTTCTTACAGCAGTGATTACGAACACTTCTAACTTCTGGGATATAACGATGTGTAGTCTGTTGGAAACAAACTGACGTTTCGGTGGAACATACTGTATCCATCTTCAGGGTCGAAGAACAAGCCAAGCAAGAAACCGACCTGAAACAGCAGAATAGTTACTGTGACCCTCCAAACCTGCTACAGTTCTCTGTGGACGCCATGGTCCTCTTTAGCCATTTCGGAAGGGTGACTGGTTTACTGGCGAGACAGATTTATTAGCATGTTATGACTTTGTTTTTCGTATCTGGACAGACAACTGCATTGTTTTTGTTTACATGCAGTTTGGGTGGCCGGAAGGGGACAAGGTTACCACGGGAGGCAAGTCTGTAGTCTTCCGAAGATGTGAATTCTGTTTTGTTGACATGTGTAGCTGTCATAATGTGTCTTCGGAAGGGTGTAGCTGGACCCTAAACTAAATAAAATAACCGCTCTCACGTGTGGGGTTCCGAGTTTTATACACGTAGCTTGGGAACTGTTTAATTCTCAAAGTTCTTTATGTGATTGGCTTGTGCTGATTGCATGATGAATCTGGCTAGTTAAAATCAGCCAATAGGATGTGAATTCTTGTCTGGGAGAGAGGCCGTCGATTCAAATCCTTCTTGGGGGATGAAGCGACGTTCCCGCAGGATACCAGTCTTCAAAAACTTGGCGTTTAGAATTGATCGGTTTCTCTAAATTCATCAGCACTTCACTTTGGATCGTTAAATTTTGATAATATATTTTTTTCCTTGGCACTACAGCCCCAGTGGGCCTAGGCCTACCTCCATGAACCTCTCCGTTAGATCTTATACATTCGGTAGGACTCCTTGGGCGGATGATCAGCTCGTCGCAAGGCCTCTACCTGTACATAAACACAGAAAAACGCACACACACAAACTAAACATCCATGCCCTGAGTGGGATTCGAACCCACGATCCCGGTTTCCAAGCGAGCGAAGACAGTACATGCCTTAGACCGCTCGGCTACCGTGACCGGCTCGATAATATTAAAGGGCCATATTACTCCGTGCTTGCAATTAGTTACAATATTTCGCTTCTGAATAAATAAACAGTTTGTGGGCAGGGAAGTTGTGTTGTTGATTTCTAGCAGTGGACTGGCTTTAAGTGTGCAGTTTCCCGTTGCCTCAGTTATTACCGTAACACGATCCTGATAGGAGTCAAGTGGTCTACCGAAGTCGGCACATAAGTACAGAGACAGAGAGAGAGAGAAAGAAAGAAAGAAAGAAAGAAAGAAAGAAAGAAAGAAAGGGGGAAGGTAACATTACCTCCTAGCTGCTTTTCAGAGAACTACACGGCGTCATATCCCAGAAGACAAAATTCTTGAAAATTTGATTTCGGCTAACCATAATATCAAATTGACACATTTTAGACACCACTGAAATTCATAACATTCTAGAACTTCTTTTTTTCAGTGCACTTCTAGTATCAGCATTTCTCTTGCAGACAAATATCGCTGGACAACACCACCTTCTAGAATATACAGCAGCGTAATTCGGTTAGTTACTCGACTCAACTCTTCGACCCTGAAGATTAGGGCAGAGTTTCCTCGAAACGTTGAACATCTAACAAACTATATGGTGTTATGTCCTCGAAGTCAGTCCTCTTCAGGGTTGAGTTTCTCAAACCCAACAAATGACGTTGCAATTATGTGTGCGAAATGATCTATATACACAGTGTGTCCAGGTTCTGTTTGGACTGTGTTCATTAAAAATACAAGACGTGAATTATTTTCAAAATTTCACTCTTTCTATTCAAAATAGTCTCCTTCTGAATTAATACATAGCTGGAATCGATTGAAAAGTGTTCGAAAACAGTCACTGTACTCCTTTTGTGGAATCGCATTTAAAACTGCGATACATTCCCTACGTAATGAAGCGTACGAGTAGATGGGTGGAAGTCGTGTGTATTGTTTGGAGACTTACGTACCGTATCGAGACCTATGCAATGAAACGTACGATAGATGGGTGGAAGTCGTGTGTATTGTCTAGAGACTTACGTACCTTACCCAGACCTACGCAATGAAACGTACGATAGATGGGTGGAAGTCGTGTGTATTGTCTGGAGACTTACGTACCTTACCCAGACCTACGTACTGAGATGCATGAGTTGACTGAAATCGCACGTATTGATAGAAGACCTATGTACGTACTCTCACCGGGCCTACGCACTGATATGTACTGGTTGACAAGTCAAACGTATTAAAGGATAAATTCGTAACTTATTGACTGGACATGTGTATTTTCTGGAGTTGTATGTAGGCATACTTCACGGGGAAATTATTATTTACCAGTGATGTAGGTATTTAGATGTCCGTACATATACCTACGTATAGACCGGGGAAGGCTGTACTGAGGCGTAAGAAAGAAATGAATGAAGTCGCATTTGCCTGTGTTATGCATGTTATTGCAGGAGCTGTGGTGCTTTCGCAATCTGCGTCACATAGGAGAATGTTACCTGAAGGTAGGGAAGACAAACTGGAGGGAAATGAGAAAGTAGGAAGGTCGACAGAGAAAAAGAAAGATAACTCCTCTTCCTCGGTTCAGTTAACTAGGTAAAACGGAAATGAACTTTACCATAAAAAACGTTCAATATTCTTTCTATCTACTTTTATTCCGGCAGGAAGAGACAGAAAGTGTGTTGGGGAATAGAGAAATACTACAAAGGGTTTAGCGTATTGGAGATACTTTAAATTTCTTGGA